AATGTTCCTGAATAACAACTGACTATTGTAAGAGTGTATCAACTTTTGTCTTTTAGAGGGCTTAGTTTAGACAAAATTTTGCTAATAAACATTTATATTAGAATAAATACTGCAACCCATTCTAAAGAAATTATTCTAAAGATGCATCTTTAATGTAACGACAGCTTTACAGTTTTGAAGAGCAGTGTCTGTCTGAAGATACTGTATGTCCAACAACCGAAGTTTTTTGTCAGCCTTATTTGACATGTTGGGAGTGTAATCTAAAGCTTTTCCAAAGAAATCCTAAATATTTGGCAAAGTTTAACACCTTAATATAAGACCATATTCGAATTCTTTGTGTCTTAAATCCTCTTGCGAAATAATCTTTCTAAACCTGTTAATAGTTTCACAAAAGAGTAACAGAAAAACCAGTTTCCAGGATTGTGAAACAAAATAAACTGTTGTTAGAATAGTGACACTTAAAACAAAAATAACACTATAAGAAATAAAATGTGCATGTCTATCCCATTCAAAGGGAGTCTTTACTTCTTAAGAATTAAACAAGTAATATTTTTATCTTATGAAGAAATTGGGATGACTTATTCATCCTGATTCATGAGAACCGCATTTTAAGTCAGAAATGGAAGCTTGACCAGAATTTTTTCTGCCTGCTCTGTTGGTAGAAAGAATGTCAGCCAGCAATACTGGTCTCATGACAGTCCAACTGCAAGCCTAGAAGTCAAGGCCTAATGTCCTCTCTGATGGGGATTATTCTGCAGTCTAGTCTCCCTAGTCACTGCACCCGTGAAATTAACAGCATATGTATTAACTACAGGGTGACTTCTGTCACCCTGTGCTCCACAGCACCAGTTTAGCCTCCAGCCTGTCCCTCAGGCTGGGCACCCATCTCTTCTGTACACTCAGTGCCCACTGCCCCATGGTGCTCTCTAGTAAAAGCCGCATTAACATGTCCTTTATAAACATTCCCTGCATTCTTATCCAACTGATTAGATATTAGCATCAGTTTGTATTGCTTCATGTTTCAAAAAGAAAGAGAAATTTCATCATCTCAAGCTCCTAAAAGCTACATTTAAAAATGCAGACAATTTCAGAAAAACCCAGAGAATCCTTGTCCAAGAGAAGATTTAACTAACGGTAAGTTAGGCTGCTGTGAAGTTCTGATTCAAGAGGTGATATTCAGTTCACAGGCATTCTCTTTGTAACTATTACCTAAAATAGGCATGGTTTATTTTACTCTCTTTTGTTTTCTGTTGCTCAGTGATTGGCATTTTACCTAACCACAGAAGAAAATGAATTAAAATTTTATTAAGCTGTGCCAGGCATCACTACAATCAGTACTAGAAACCATATTCTCCTTTCACTCCTCTTATTCTCCTACTTGTACAATCCAGTAGAGACTGTTGGAGTAGCTATAACTAATTAGATCAACTGAAAAAAGTCAGACTCAAACTTAAATTTTAGAGAAAAATTATTTGTTTACTTGGTTTTTCTTATTAAACTTTCCTCTCTGCTGAACTGAGGACCTTACATGGAAAAACCAGGCAACTATAAGAATGGCATTGGTATCCACTTGAAAAGTTTCCCCATTATTATAAGCAAGCAATCAAGCAGTATTTTAATGGACGAAACAGGTTTCTAAGCCAGATTTTAAGCTATATTCAGTCATAAACTTACATAAATAGCCTGATCATTATTCTTTAAAGTACATAGTTTAACACTGATCTTGCAGCCAGAATTACTTCAACATTTTAAATTTCATTATTTCCATAAGCAATCACAGTCAACTGAATGACAGAGTGAAATAATATGTAGTAAATGTATATAATACATACATCATTTGTAATATGATAGAAAGGACCTGTGCTGCTACCACATGAAAGGTTTCAGAGACATGCAGTCATTTCCCATTCTGCTTCAGTAAATTCACTTTAATTTACTTGTGTAAATTTAAGTAATTTACTTAAGCAAATTGACAAGTAAATTGCCTAAATTTATATTGTTTAAAATTATTCCATGAAATTCATTGGAGCTTTTAAAATCTACAGCAGTGTAGAAGAGAACAGATTGGGCCCACTGTTGCTGTACTAATGCATAACTGGAAGGTATGATTTATCCATCCTTTCCTTAATATTAAACATAACTGCTAATTAAAAGCTAGAAGAGAAATTATATTCCCAAAGCCATAGCTGTCAGAGGCAAGCAGTCTTCCTATCACATTCAATGTATATACCACTTTGGCAGACCTGCAGACATTCTACTCATAACTCCTTATTACACATCTTCCATACAGACAAATATTCAATGTCTATCTACACTATATCTATTTTTAAAGATTACTTACAGAATTTGGAATCCATGTCTAAGATACCCTGAGGCATTTAGGTTGGTTCTGTTGCTCACTGATTAATAGCTTTTTTTTTTTTAAGCAAATTCACACCAACAGCCAAAAAAATACAAGAAAGACAAAGCAGATAACTAGATGTATTCCCATTGCCCAGATCTCAAACTATTGCTTTATTAATTCTTTTTACAAACTTTTACACCTAGTTCTCCTTTTAAACACCTATTCTGACTCTAGATTACACTCTTCCACTGGGAAAACAATATAAATGAAATATGGCAAACAAATTTAAATAAAATATTTTATGGTGCCAAAATAGATTTTCTGTTTCAACACATTTGATGATTTCAGAATGCTTTAGTATTTGAAAGTTTTTAGCATTTGGATTTTTTACATTTGATTTGGATTTTTAAAAGAAGATTTGGAAACCAGGCTAGTAGATACACAAAGTGCTTCACCATCAGATAATGCTGAAATTAGGTTCTGGAATACGCATACAACATCTCTCACACAGCTGCATTTAGTTTTGATTTGAAAAACACTGGAGAAACAGATATTTAGTCCAGCATGGGACCAGTTTCTAATTCAAGTCCACAGATCGTTCAGGGGTAAAACAAGCAATGAGGTTATGAATTTTCTAGCCATAATTGTGGCGCAAAACTTCATTGCATCTCAAACTTCTCAAAGTAACGGTATGGTACCAGTTAATAAGATGTAAACCCCAGCCATGCATTATTACTGGAGGGAGTAAGTGAGCAGGTGAAAAGTTCCCTGTCTTTCAGAGGGGTGTGCCTTCTGTGCTTTACCCATCTCCTTTCAGGGATGTATGCCTAGACAGCAAAATCTAGCACATTTATTACCCCAGTACAGTTTATTAAAGAGTTTAAGAACATGCTCACTACACATTTAGAAATATTTCTCCCCATATAATTAAAATTCTCAGAACTTTAAATACAGATGTATTGACCTGTATTTATGGACTGATTTCAGACAGCACTGAGCTACTTTTTCAATGCTATTAACACAATGGGACGTTTCCCCATTTCCCATGAGGATTTAAAAAAAATCAAGTTTAAAAAAATAAAACACCACACAGACACGCCAAAAAAAACCCACCAAACACCCAAAACCAAGTCACACCTGAACAGTTGTTAGCAGGATTTGTAAGACCTGAACATTCCCCAAAATGGAAGTAACTGTAGAAATATTATGGTAGATAAGAGATGTCTGCCTGTGAATGCATTGCAAATTAGCAACAAGAGCTCTGGAGGAGAAAATAGTCACTCCCCTAATGCACAATATAAAGCACACACTGCTCTAGGTAGAGTCTGAAAGTCCCATTCAACCTGCTTCTGTTGATATGTTAGACAGACATGTTCATACCACATTCTCATGGATTCTGCTGACTAAAACAGAGAAAGAGACAGATGATAAACGTAAAATTTCTACCAGTATACCAAGATCACAGTGATCTTCACAGCAAAAGTCAACAGGCATAAAAAAACTAGCAAGACACAACATGTTTGTTTAACAGCCTGCTAGTAAATCATCATATTAAAGCACGAGGAGGTACCTGAATAAAGCAAAGTGCATTTTATAAATGATCTACAAAAACAGTCTTCACTTCACAAGTGCTCACCTCTAACAGTGAGTCAGGAGACTCCTTAGTTTGAAAAAACTGTCAGCAAAACAACACTTCTCATTTCTATGCCTTAGGGTTTTTTCATATGTTTGTTTTGTGTAGCCTACTCCATCTTTATCAGAAGCCCGACAGGAAGAAGATAAACTGGCTTGAAAACAGCCATTGGAAAAAAAATATGATGAAATATTCAGAAGAACATTTAAGATCTGTTTTCTAGGAAACATTTAAGAATTGAAATTTTTCTTTTCCATTTCCATTCAACACTGCAAGTAGGTCATAGAGTTTGAGCTCAGCTATTCTCCATTACACTGACAAAACAAGGAGAGATGTCTTTTCTCCAAGAGCAAACAAAAGCAGCTATTTTTCCATTTTCTTGCTGGAATATGCTAATTTGGTGAAATAGAAACTGAAATTGATCCTTTTGAATAAAACTTGTCTCCAAATTCCCTCAGATTCTGGTATTTCTTGTCTCTTGTTTTTCAGATTCAGAATGCTCTGCTCTAAAAAGGGCAGTTCACCCTAGAACAGGTATTTGAACCTGTTCCACTTCTATCCCAGGAGATGCTCTGCCCATCATACTTGAAGTCCTTCTCTAGCTTTATTCACGAGAACATTCAAAACACCTCAGTTATCTCAGTTTGGATTAAGACCAAAAGCAAAAACCATAAGTGAATTCTTGGTTTTGACAGCTCTAATAAGAACGCGGTAATTCATACCCTCCTGTTGTAGATTTCACAAACACATCCATGGAACACTACATACACACAGGCCTACAGCTATGCTTGTCACTTCACCTTTTTCAGCATGTGCACTAATCAGCCTTTTGCAGTGATGGAAACAGAAGTAATTGAAGAGTAAGGGTTGGAAAAACATAATACTGCAGTCACAAATGCCATCTGAATTGCTATTAAACAAGCCCACAAAAGTTACAAGAGAAATACAAAGAATTGATCACAGACACCAAAGTTTTGAGCAGCCGTGACAATAGCCTAAACTGGTAGTTTCCATTTCACTTACCAATTTGTGGGTGAGCTGGATGGTAATAAGAGGAGATCCTGACAGATTGTGGGACAGCTTGGGTAGAGGTTCCACTTTGACAGAGATAAGATAACTGGCTGCTGAGATCATATAACCTTTGTAGGCAGCAGCTTCAGCAATCCTTGGGAAGAAACAAATATATTAAGGAAGCAAAACAACAAAAATCTTTGTAGTTCAGCCACAACAGCCACAGCAACAGGAACACAGGACCTACTTTTTCCATTCAGGTCAATGACTTTCTATACAGGAGCAAGACCTGTCCCTAAAAAGATCCTACAGGACTAGAAGCAACAGCTACAAAGTACAGGGAACAAATGTAGACGTTAAGAGACTTGATGTCGTAAGTATTCCTTCATTCTGCTCCTCTTTTGCAAAAGTTTACAAGCCTTGCTGAAAGTGCTTTAGATAATTAGAATCCTAGGAAGGGATCTAAAAATAACCTAAGCAAAGCTTTCTGACTTTTTAAGTGAGGAGAAAACTTGTGGGAGTTTCAGGCTCTCCAATCAAACATACATATTAGTATGTAGGACACATACACTTCTATCATATATAATGCATATAAATATATACATACGAATATATTGAGAAGTAATTTAGAGCTTTACTTTGAAAAATTTATTATGTCCAGTTAGGTTTCTAAGCGAGTAACCCGGGTCACTATACTAACAGATGAACCTGACTAAACATCTGTTTAGTTTAGGTAATACTTTTTTTCCTAGGCTGAAGTAATTTTGCAGTAGATAAGAGACCTTTTATTTCTGCTTTCAGCTAAAACTCATGACTTTGGCATTCTCGCACATTTAGGACTAACTAGGATCCACTTGGGTGTAGGGTAAAATTTTTTACACTATCAGTAACAAACTGTGCAGTAGTAAAATGGTCTCTGTCATTCACCTCTTCAGTATGTGAATGAATGGTATTTTCTGTAACAAATACGAGCCATAGTGAATTAACCATCAGTGTGGGTTTCCAAACATAGCACACCACTGGAAAAAGTCAGTTTACATAGCACATGAAAAAACATTTTATTTACATCTGCTACCTGTTTGCAGTGGTTTCTTGTTTTCCTTTCAGAAAAAAAAAGAAGTCATCACATATTAAAATAAATTCACTCAGTTCCTCAGCAATGTCAAACAAAACAGAACTCATTTAGCACTATCCCAAGCACCAGTCCTTAGTTACGACCACAAAAAACCCCATCAGTATCAGAGATTACTTCTGCTCCCAGTAACCAGCATGTGAATTGAATTTGTTTGTCTCGGGGCAGAATTTGCTACTCTGATATGAAAAGTTTAGAGAAGGACTCATAATGTTAAGACAACTATCTGTCATTTTGACATTTCTCCTACAGAGATTAACAGGATGGATGTTTTTTCAACACCCATTATCTGCCATTTTAACTTTAGAGAGATAGATGAATTTCTAAAAATGAAAAACCTTCAGCACAAGCAAGAAACAGTGTTTCTGTATTTCATGCTTGCATACAAAAGCCTTTCTTCACCTTAGCCCTGGGTGTTAGGTGGCAGGGAGTCTGTCATCCTATTACCTTCTGTGGAATTACTACAGATTTACACAAACTGTATATGAGTGGGAGCAGAACTGGGCTCAAAACCTTTTTTTTTTTTTAAGAATAAAAAATTACTCCTTTAAGAAACAGCTATTTATGTAGTCTGAAAATAGAATTCATCTCTCTGTACAGCACAAAAGCTCCAAGAGTTTTGATTTTAGCTTTCTACCACAAATGAAAAAAGAAATTGCCCTTAAGAAGAAAATGGACAGGTTTCAAATTACAGGTGTTCAAGTAGCACAGTGCTAGAAGAAACATGAAAGAAAGTCTCGAAAACAAACTACTCTGGGAAAACATTATTTTAGTGAAATGTTAGCAAAAAAGTTATAATAGTACAGCACAAAAAATAAAACCAAGCAGGAGAGAACTGCATGCTTATTTTTAAAATGTTTTTTGAATACCTGGGGGTTTGATTCCACAGAGGATAAAAATGGTTAAGCTAGCATGCCCTGTAGTACTAGTTCTTTAAATGCTGTTTTGGACAGATCTGCACCTAGATTTTTACAGACATGATTCTGTAATGCATTAGATACTGCAAACAGTTCAAGTAGTTTGGATTAGTCATAGAAATCTAAGAGGCGTTTGTTCCCTAGCATCTTTGTTTCTCTTTAACATTGCAACAGGGCCAGATACTTTCTTCTTAAAAATGAGTGAAAAATACATACAACTCAGTGGAACAGGAATGGGTCTCCAGGTTGTCCTATTCCACAAAAGTCAAAGAATGTACACAAAGATGATGTAACAGTTTTATTTTGCTGTATCAGAGCCACAGGAGCTGTAGACTCTATGACAATGAATTAGAATACAGTGATTTGACATGCAGCGTCTTTAATCGTATCATGTTTGCTAAACTTTGACCTAAGTCCAGACCATATTAATTCCCTTTTTTGCTTTAAGAAGTTAAGATTACAGCTTATTATCTTAACAAATTCCACTGATCCTCCTGTTTGAAAAAACATAAGCTGTCATAAATTATCGCCTCTATTTCTTCATGTCCATAAGAAATACTGCACATGAATGACATGGTTCCTTTACAGTCACCTGCTAAGTGGTCTTTTCTTGAGAGAGCAGGTTAAACAACAGTACAGCTTGCTACTTTATTTAAAAATACTATTTAGTAAAAACTCTGTGATGATCTCAGTGTCAATCTGGTCATAAGCCAGGATTTTTTACCCTGAAGTTCACAAATGAGCTCCTGTGATCATGACCTTCTGTGTAGCTGTATATAAAGAAAGGGAGGCAATCCCTGACGTTCATGAGAGCTGAAATGCTCCATCTTTCTCTCTGCTGTCATAAACAACACACCAAAAAGTCACAGATTGGAAAAGACTGAGAGAAAGTGTAAACATACCCCCAGTGTAGAGCAAATAAAAACATCAAGTTATACTAGCTTAAAAGGAAAGTGTAATGATTTATACGAATGGCCTTGCAAAATTCCCCGGGGACCTGTATTGCCAAAAGGTATACAGCTCTGCATTTACTTTATCTTATCTGCTAATGATTTCATTGATGCAGCATATAAAACAAAAGGTCTTTTAAGCATTGCCTGGTCTCCTGTTGTAAAATTACTTTACAGGTTTCTAGGATTAGGATTCAGATTTTATCTAAAGAAGGATGTTACATTTTCTTACTTGCTTCATTTTACCGCAAGCTTTCTCTTTATATGTGCCAGGAGAAAAGATGTAATTTCCTTTTATGAGACAGATAAAAATTATGAAATTCTAATACCACATATAATGAATGGAAGGCAAAGACAAAGACAGACAAACATGTCGCTACGGGAATTTATTTTACTACAACATAAAGTAAAGCGTCTAATGTAAGCTTTAATCTCTCTCTAGTTAATGACTGCATGTCCTCAATATTGAAGAATCAGGATTTATTTACAGTTGATGACGACATGACTGTTATAAAGGCGTATCACTAAGGTAATAAACAAGCTGTTACAGCATGAGAGGTCTGAGATACTTACTTTGTATCCATAGGGTTGATATTATTAAAGAAATAGTGCATGTTATGGTAAAGCAGGCCGACAATGGTAATCCAAGCTGTGAAAAGGGAACAGGGGTTATTCCTCAGAGCAACAGCTGTAAGCAACAGACAGTTCTCTCCAAGACCGGAAACTCCATGTTAACTAAAAGCCTTGAATTCTGTAGGCTTTCATATTCTTTACTTTAGCAGATTTCTGATTATTAAGTGAAAAAACTATGAACATCTTGCAGTATGGCACAGGAGACAAATATGAAAAGCAAAATAGAAGGATGCCTGCCCTGAACAACAACAACTTATTTTGGAAGTACAGAAGTAATCCCTTTTCAATTATAAATCCCCCACATAGCACTAGAAAGGGTTGTATGACATACCAGACTCAATGTCCCAATGGTAGCTACAGTAATCTCAAAGCTACTTCACCACCACCTACATTAACTGGCAGTTTATGCAACTCAAACACAGGCAACCCGTTTCCACTTCGGTTGTGTTTGCTGCCTGCATTCCAAGTATTTATGGGCTCTCCAGCATCTGAGTGAAGAGACAGATGTGTATTTTCTAAGCTTCAGCCACACAGATATCTCTCACTATCCCTTTTGCTGGGTTCCAAGTATATATAGTGTCAACTGTTTAAGGTGGAATAATAAATTTTTAGGTTAGCTCATTTGGACAGTGTAGAAGTATGGCCTGAAGGCTGAAATTGCTCAGAAGTGAGCTTTAGCTGGAAAAAGACTTAAATATTTAATGGGCTGGATCATTTCGGGATACCAAGCGTGACAATGTTCTGGAAAAAAAAATCTGCATGGTGAGAGACTTTATAAATGGGAAAGCAAAAAAAGTCCTCTCACATGCTATTTTTGGCACTACAAGTTGGTTTGCAATTATACTTATTGAAGCCTCAGAGCACTTGCAGTGAAGTCCCCAGCCAGAGCCCCTGCCAGTGCAAAGAAACAAAGCTGTCAACACAAATCAGGTAGACAGTTTAGTAATTATCGGATTATTTCTTAGTGCAGGTTATCTGCAGTTGACTTTGCACTTTATGAATAGGGACCAGCCTTCCTTCAACAGAGGTGACTTGTGAAAGGTCTCTGGGTGTGTAAGTTCCATGGATTGCAATTTAGGGCACATAGGTCAGATTTTTCAAAGATTTGAGGATGCAGGTAGATGTTTTTGTAAATAGATTCTTCAGTGCCTGATTAAAACATAGATAGTTAACTTCAAACATTGTTATTTTAGAGTCTTGACTAAATCTTCAGATTTTTGTCATACCCTGCTTTTGAAATTACTAAAATTTTAGCCTAGGTATGGATTTCTGAGCTCTGCCTTTTTGCCTTGACTGTAGTTTACATCTTCATTCTGTTTTTTAGCTGCTGTTGCTTAAACCTGGCATTTTCTAGTTTAATTTCATACAACATTTTAAGAGCGATTTTGCATGAAGGGGTAAGTAATACTTGATCTGACATCCTCAAGTTTCTTAAAATGAACCAGTTCAGGTGATTAAAAATAATTTATGAAGTTATGTTTTCTCTGATGTAGAAAGATGTCAAAATTAAATGGTTTCAGTCTCTGTAGCTCAGCTGTATTATTCAAGATTAATTCAAGTAATATGAAAATTCTAACACATTAATCATTCATTAGTGTGACAGGACACATGCTGCTGCTTTAGAGTCAGTTTGATCAACAGTGATCCAATCAGTTACCTGGGAAAATAAAGCAAACCAAAACCTGTTTTCAAGCAACATAATTTTTGGATACCCTGTTTACATGACTCTGCTCCTCCCTTTAGATTCTTTCTTACCTTTTTCATGAAAAGCTTCACTGGGAATGGAAACATAACTCTGTCCTCGAGATGGAAATCGATAGTGGGACAAATTCAGAGTCTGAGGGTGCATTTTGACCAAGGTGTAATCTGTGTGATAACCCAAACAAATATATGATAAAATCAATAGCTTCTACAACCTACTTGACTATTTAACTAGACTTCCCTGATAGCTATTGCAAGTCTTGAATTTAAAATCCCAGATATTTGCAGAAATTACAGTAAATTTCCCAAGTATAAAATTGTCTTTTATAACAACTGACTCCTTTGTGGAGAAGGTGGTATGCACACTTAATATACCACGGATCACGTCACCCATGCTCAAATACTGAGCTTACCAGGGCAAGCAAAACAGATTGATAACACACACTTCCATTGACATTTGAAGGCATTATTTCAGACCTCCATTGCTCAACTTGAGAATGCCAGTGTACAAGGGAGTATGTGCTGTGATTAATGCTACTGGTGATTTGCTCAGGTGATTTGCCCCCTCACAGAGGTCCCAACAAGGCAGAGCAGAATGCCAGAACAGATAAATTACCTTTGCTACCTGTAGCATCAAAAGACACAGATGAAATTAGGGTGCTAGGATACTAAACAGCAGTAAGATAAAATTCTCCTAAAAGGTCAAAACTATTCCCATTATTTGCAATCTCTTGCAAAAACCTTGCAAGATTAAGGTTTTGTAGCATCCAGACATTTCCAACTTCGAAGTGTTGCATAAGAGCTCTAGGCCCTTTAACTGCCTATTAGTATAGTATTACTAGATTAATTTCATAGAATTTATATTCTACAGCCCTCCCCAAATAACCTCAAGGAAGTTCAAGTACCATCAGAGCTGATTACCTCTGGACAAACTGCACAGTCATCTTCCTACAACCAAAACACTGGTTTGTATTCAAAAGAGAAAATTATCTGTTTTGATTTCCTCCTTCATGTTGGCAAAGCAGGGGCTGCAAGCACTGAAGCATTCAGGACACCCAGACTGTCCAGAAAGAACATCTTTGCTAAATCCTACCTGCCACAGATGACGTGCCCTCAACAGTCAAAGGTAACAAGTTTTCGTCCAGATTGCGCATCATATGAGCCATCACACTGTCAATAGTTTGAATTAAATTTCCAAATATGTGAGCGGTCTAGGGGAAGAAGAAAGAGAAGGCTCTACAGCAAAAGAAATTGCAGTTCGCAGCACAAAGTGGCAAGGTGCCGTGTTAAATTCCTGTGTGATTCATCATTCAACTGTCCAAAGTCAAATGTGACTTTCTCCACAAACTTTTCAACCTATAGGGATAAATAAAATGTTACACAAATTGATGCCACCCAGAGCCTGACCTTATAAAATACTATGTTTTGTAGCATGCCTCCAAATGACTTTCTGCTCCCACTAGCATTTGACAGTCAATTATACTCAGGATTCATCACAATGAGGCCAAGAACTGAGAAAATTATTTTGACAAAATATAAAGACTGCTATCAGACCTTTATTGGAATATAAGCTGAGACACTACTGTTTGGCCTTTCTTTCATCTTTATTAAAATGGTCACCAGCATAAAGCTACTTTCTAAGTAGCTTAAATTTCCCCTAGAAAACAACCCTCCAGGTTGAAACTTGATCCATAAAATCTCAGCGTGAATGGATGTTTCAATGAAAAAAAAGAAAAAAAAAAATCTATTTTATCTGAAGTCTCTTCACATCAGGATCAAGGATTTTAGGATAAGAACTTAAATCAATTAGACATCCTTTTGTCTTAAAAGCATTTTAGGCTTCAGTGAGACTTTAATTTACTTCAGCCTCTCCTTCTCTCAGTTTAAAAGCTCTCTGTTCTGAAATCTGTGCTCCCTTAAGATTCAAACAAAAATCTCAGGAAATTCCTGCATTCCTCGTGGAAGTACTTCCATTCACTCTAAAAGGTAGACTAGAAGAGAAAGAACATCGATATAAGTTACTTCTCCCTATATTAGGTTTAATCTCTTTCAAAGCTTTTGTCCACTAATCGGGTAAGCATATCACATATTTCACATGCATTGAAAAACGTCAATCTACAAACCAAATAAAATTTTAAATATCAAAGCTCAGTGCTAAAAATGAAGTGATTAAACACTTACTTTAGTGACAACATCTCTTATTTCATAAATACAATTTTGTTTCTTTCATCCTGAAAAATGTGGAAACAGCAAGAAATATAGTTCCTTTATTGTAACCCTCAAAAACACATTATAAAAGAAAATGGCATAATTGTTTTGCCTGTGGATCTTTACTGCAAATACGAAAGTGACATGTGAAAAAACAAGTCATACTACCAAAAACTCCTAACAAGAAGAATAATAGAGGCAACCAGCTTCATTACTATCAATGTGGAATTATGCAACCAAAGTAACCTATAAATATAAGCCCATTTCTCTTACCTCTGGTACATTAATCCAGTTGGGCAATAACAGAAAGTCTTCAATAGCTTTTAAAAATGCCTAAAAGATAAATAAAACTATATTATTTGATTATTTATTCATCAGCTACATCTCCTGATAAGGAGATAGCAGATCTCTGCTATGATTTTCTTAGGTTTATTTTCAGATGACAAGCCCATTTTCATTCAAGTCACAGATTTATCTCTACCTGCCAGCACTCTCATCATATTCTGTATGGTGGTATTTTAAAGTAACAATTTATTTATTAAAAGTAACACCACTGTGAAACCCCCAAAGTGTAATCATACTACAGCTGAGGTGACAACACTGGAAGAAAGACTGACATTAACTTACTCTCCCCTTTTATCTAAATGCGTATGACATTAAAACCTCTTTTAGTCTTAGATGACTAGATAGTTCAACAGCACTAAATAAATATCTGGGTCCCATTACTTGTGTAATTTATTATCTGCTTAACTTCTGCACTTAAAGGTTGTTTTTGAGGTCAAGATCTGTCATAGAGGACACTGTTTAAGTGCTCAGCATGATACAGTCCCTGCCCTAAGGAGTCTTGCTGACGAAGACAAACAGGAGGAAAAGAAAAGGGAGCACAGAAAATTAAGAAAAACTCCTGCTTAAACTTTTCTGTTAAAATATCTTAAAAGCATCAACTGAATATAGAAAAGTTCCACTGAGAAATGTGGAAGAAAGCTGCAAGACCTTTCTGAGCACAATTTTACAAGCCATAATACATAGGGCAGTAACCAAGCTTTGCTATATGAGCTTCCTTTTGGGCAGCACAAACTTTGCAGCCCCTCAAACATTCAGTGTGGAATTCTACCTGGCAGGCACAGAAGTTAGACCAAACCTAGGACCAAGCCCAAATTGCCCAGAACATTTTCAGTGAGTATCTCTTTTCAGGTCACAGCATCAGTCCAGAATTACTCCAAAAAAGGATGTGTTACTCCACTGGAAAGGGAGGGAAATCAGGAGTGCTGGAGCTACTGAGCAGAGCAGCATTATAACAGAAAACACAAGTCAGATTTGTCAGCAGCAATGCATTATTAACATGTGTCAGTAATTAGAAAGTTTATTGCATATCACCTAAATCAAATTTTCTTGTGCTGTGAGGCATATGACAACCAGGACAGAAATAACTTCACAGAAAATAGCATGCATGCTCAGTGCCTGTCTTTCAGGGAATTAGCTGCAGACAATACAAAGCCTAACCGTCAATCAAACAAATGACAGAGTCTGTATGTATGATCAGGAATCTCTTGTGTTTGCTTCCCAAAATAGCTTTGCTAAAGATAATCATGTCCCATATTTCTGCCTGCAAATCTCTTTCATGGCATACAAAGCAGCACCAGATAGCATGAATGAGCAATCAAATGGCAGCTGAAATGATGTAGGAAACAGGTACAATATCTGACAGGACCATGTTCCATTTTCAATTTAAAGCCCACACAAAATTTTCAACAAGACAAAGGAAACAATGTGTCACAGTTTTTTATAAGGGTTTTTGCTACATATTAAACTGTCATCCACGAAATCCAAGCTTTACAGTTTGCAAATGCTAAGCTTTTAACACAAATTATCAATTGCTTGTCCATGTAGTTTTCAGAAACATTTATTTATATTGTTTGACTGAGTAAATAATCCTCATCACCCTGGTATTACCCACAGGCTTAAAGGAACAATCACTAGTGAGGCCAGAGCTGATTCCTGTAATAATAGCTTTCTAGCCTGCTGAAATCAGGATATTGGATGCCCATCATTTTATAGAAGGCTAACTTAATGTTAGCAGAATGTGACCCCTTGTCCTCAGCTCAGACTACAGAAAATGCCTTTTTTCTTTTTTTTCTTTTTCTTTTTTTTACTTGTTTCTTTTCTTTTTCTTTTTTCCTTTTTTTTTTTCTTTGTGGACTAGCTTAAAAAAAAAAAATTACTTGGTTAAGCTTTGGACCTTATCTTTCATGAAGCAGTTTCAGTGAGGATTTATGATATGTCTACACAGGAGTCCTGGCTGTGACTGGAACCTGGTCCAAGATAAAGTTACTAACTCACAACAGCTAAGGACACCACCATCACGAACAGGCCCTCTCCCACAACTTTCCACTGCCAGAGCAGGGTGAGTGCCTCTGCCATTGCAGAGTCCTGCAAGAATAATGCATGACTTCGCAAAAGAGAAGCCAGAGGAGAGGCACAACTTGTCCTCTGCTTACTACAAGAGCAATAAAAGCTAACAAAAGGTTGGGCAGACAGCAGTAATTTATAACTTTTTAACCCTCTAGTGAAGGTGTGAATCTCACAGTATTTTAAGTTTATAGTTGGGCAGTTACCCAGGGCAAGAATCATACAGCCACAACTAGAACGCTCCCTACATCCAGGTCAGTTTGCTCTAAGTTCATGCATGCCTCCGTTTCTCTGCTGTCACTGCTCTGATTACAGTGTCTTTATGTCCTGCACCTGAGAGATGACTGTCAAACTCTGCTGCATTTTGGAACAGCTGGCCCATGCAGAGAAATGCTGAATTTTTTTCCAGAATTATATATTCTTCATTGGATACACTTGCAGATGCCAAAGACACTTACCTCTGTCAGGCTTAGAGCAGTATTTTCTGACAAGGATTTGTTGGGCAAGCTGAAGGACACATTCTCCAGGTAGCCCAGCATGGTGCTGAGGGGGTGGAAGTTCCCTCTTTCCTCGGTGAGATTAGTAATGATAGGATGATAGGCGTTTGTAGAGAGCTACAGAAGAGAGATACAACTCATCAGTAATTATTCCATATGGCAATCACTATTTATTGTTTTAGCGCAAAAGGGAGTTTGAGGCACAGCATACTCCTGTGGTTACACACAGGAGGCTACATAAGCCAAGGGAAAAGAAAAGCTCACAGACAGATAGGATAAACAGAATATACAGGCACAGCTTCATTTTTTCATTAGCAATTCAGGTCCCATCTGCCATGGTTTCCTGAAAGACTCTGTGAACAAGAAAACTATAGAATAGAAATTTGACACTGCAGATAGCAAGGAAGTGAAAATACACTGCAACAGCTAATTGTATGTATTCTGCATATAAAAAATTAATTTTATTTAAACTTTTTTCATTAAGCATTTATTAAACAGATGAAAACTAGTTTTGTTACTGTGGTGGGAGATTTTTTTCAAATTTTCAGGGAAATAAGAGGAAAAATTAGCAAAATGTTTTTGAATGTCCTATACCATCAAAGTTCATTGAAATATTTCAGAATTTCCTACTTATTTTTCCTTTTTTCAATACAGAAAATATTTTTATTTCACAATGATTTTCCTTTATCTGTCCTACATTAAGAGTTCTGTAGTACTCCCATCTTCCCATAGTGGCTAAAAATTCTCCCTATTCATATCTGAAAACATTTATAACTGGGGTACTAAGTGCCACTAATGAAAACTGTAAAGTGAGAAGGGTCTGCAACTGTAATATATATGTATTCTGACATTATAGAAAAGTGTTGAGGACTGTCCTACCACAGGTTTTGTAGTGGTTGTCATCACAGACCACGGGAGTGTTGAGGAAAGCAAAACTTGCACACCTAGGAAAAATACATGCATGAATGAGTGTTAATAAATCCGATATTCCCACTGCAAGTTGAATCAGTTCTAAGTGAAAGTAACATATTTGCTGTTCTGTGCATTTTACTTATTTGCTACAGAGGCTTCTTTAAAGCATTTCATTTACTGAATATCTCAGCAATTTTATTTTGTCATCTTTATACAGATGAGCCTTGCTATTTAGTCTGTCTTAAGCACTTAAACTTGGTTTGCAAACAGGAAATTTCAAGTGTTATATCTCAATAAAAAAGGACAACCGTACAATTAAAACATCGGCATCCATCTTCTTTCTCTAGCTCTTTCCCCAAAAATTTATGCAAAGTACTTAGGGAAAACAAAACAAAAAAATTCTATGTCTTATCAGAAATATATAATAATCTGTAGACACTTCTGAATTTCATATACAACCTTGCTGTATTTCTGTACATGTGATAAACTGGGACTGGGAACGTACAGACACTGGAAAAAACGAGACTCAAAGAAGGGAAAAAGGGCCTCAGCTGTGATCTCCAAATGTTAATGTTTACTTATATCTTGAGTCTAAATTGCTTGAGTGCCAAATAAAATCACATCCATGAAGACAAGTTCAGAAAGACTTTTCCACATTGAAAAAGAGAGTCTGTAAGAAATGTTCAAAGCCAATGGAAACACATTTGTTGCTTACAGCAAAGCTAAGGCACCTTCAAATAAAAGAACATTGATAGAATTGGTGGTATACTAAAGCTTTTGGAGCATGCTAGTTTTACAGAAAACAAATAACAGGGGTCAAAGAGTCAAAACACAGCCTTCCTTAGTAGTTTGAACATATTACAGATAATATCTCTATTAGGTGTTTGTAAGTTCATTTCAAGTAACAATGAGGTTGCTACTAGTCAGACAGGCTTTACTAATAAATGTCACCCACTAGCACTATATCCATTGAAAATTACCATATGAGCATGTCATAAATGATTTGTGGAGAGATAAAGAATAAACTTGATTTTGGATGGTTTCCAATTGCTCCCTTTTAAAACTATTGATTCCTTTCTGTGCAAAGGGATTTATTTGGTCATTTGTGATAGAGAAATATAATTTTCTTCTAATCTATGTCCTACCAAGAATTTATATTTGCCAGGAGTGTGGTATTTCAGCATAAACAGTAGTTGCATATATAGGACACATTTTTCTCTCAGATCCAAAAAGAACATGATATTCATTCTATTAAAAAACAGACTGTCTTATTCAATTTCTTGTGTCAAACCACATTAGCCCAGCTTCAACCCTGCTTTAAGTCCTTCAAAGTCAATAAATAGATACCAAGAATAACTTTTGTTTACTATGTTGATTAATATTACAATATCCATTGCTTCCTCTAAGAATGTTCTAAATTCATCCATCACACTGGAAATTTCGTAAAACCTCATCAGCCCACTACTTTGAAGGAGAAAGCAAAAAATCCAATACTCCATATTTCTTAAGTGCTCCAAAATCACCTGAGCACTTGAAAATAATATTGTCTTAGAAATTCTTCACACTTACAAAAAAATATATATACCTGGCATCCCTTTACATTTTAATTCCTAAGCCCCTAGAAAATACACACCAAGCTTCACTTTCAATTAAGAGGTTAGAAATTTATTTTTTACAGAAAATTTATAGATGGCTCTGAAAGGTAAAATTTCAGATTACCTGAAAACCGTTGAACACCTAATGTCATGCAAATTGCAGTGAACTCAAAGCTCACAGCATGAACATCTCAATGTATAAATCAGGGAGTGTGCTATACAGGCTTTAAAAAAAAATCAGCAGGGTTTTTAAAGGTAGGATACAGGCAAAAGTATGTACAACTCTTCAAAATTTAGACTTCAGCAGAATCCGAGGGCCCAACTCATTTTGCAGCATTTCAAAAGCTAGCTACAAGCATTAATGTCCAACAACCAGATACTTTGAGCCCTGGTAAGACTCTTTCCAAAAAAAAGTATAGAGCAAAGAAGTAGAACCTTAACTCCTGAACAGGATTTCTGTTCGTGGGAAGAGGTTTCCACGATGCTTGACTATTAGCTAGAGCAAAAATGGAAGGGTGAGGGGCTTCAGAGGGTGGTTGCTGTGAGTTCACAAGAATTCAAGGGGGTAAAAAAAAAAAAAAACACAACAAAAAATAGGTCTATTTATGTAAGTTATACCACTCTGACAGTGAAAAAGACACATATATAGATGGATCAGGTCAATTTGAAAATCTACTGCTCGAGTTTAGCAACATAACATTCTTCTTTAGTTACACTACATCAAAGAATGTGATTTATGGTAGCTTTCAGTTGGATAGTATTATAGTAACTCTAGATTGTTATGAAAGATACACCAGCCAAATACAAAAGCATTTTTCCAACACGACCAGAATGTTATAGTTATTAAAAGCTGGGGGTTTTTTTTAAGATTTTAAAACTATTTCCCATATCAAATGAATACTCTTTTCCCAATCAGAATTTTTGAAGTCTTCCATAGGAATCGCTTTTTAAAATAAAAAGGGTTTAAAATAAGAAAATTGAGCGCAATTGCTGTTATTTGTGTAGAAAAGCAAAAAAATTGCCTCATTATATACCAGGTGGAGGGTTTTTCAGTGACTTCAATTCTACATAAACTAGCTTATTTTTTTCTTTTTTGATAAAATATATTTTAAATATATTTGATTTCTATAATCAAACCTGGAATTCACAAACACACATTCTCATTTCCAGGCACACATCACAAGTTCTGTGTTATTCAGAGTTTCTGTTGTGAAAATGGTTCCCATGGGTTTAAAAAGCACAAGAGTTATGGGTGTAACTGCTTTAGCTCTCAGAAACCTAGTAATAAATGAAAGCAGAAAAACTGCCAGCAAAGCCAAATGTTCCAGATGCCCCATAGCTTTATTCCTGACATGGATGTTTTCTAATTGCGACTCACACACAAGCACTCAATAGCAACAGCCTTTTTTGTAGTGAAAAGTTTATTACAAAGACCCATATAACAGTTGACAGGGTTTACTGGCCAGTCTTCTAACTGTTATAATCCTGATTCTTTGCCTTTTTTATTACAGTTCAGCTGATATCTTTCCTAATAGTTCACAAGCATACACGAGTAAGTCTTTATCATTCCAGGAACTGGAGAGATAACAATTATTATGCACATCTGCTTCGATACACTGAGTGACTTGGCTCTAGGTTACACAACAACTGGAGCGCAAGTCTGTAATCCCGAGCCAATCCTCCTTAATACTGTTCTGCCTCAAGTCCAATTATTGCTCCTCTTCTCTTGATCTTAGGGGATCTAACAATGGCTGGATACTTCAGGTCTTGGTAATTTTTTAATGACATTTTAAAGGAGCTAGAACCCAGGATAAGAAGACTGCACATCCAAAGACAGCTGAGTGTTTCAGGGACATTCATTTCTGACTTTTTCTGTCTCTAAAAATTACGTTCAATAGCAGCAAGATTTAAATGAACACAAATCCTACACACTAAACATTTTTAAGTCAGCATCTTTAACAGAAGATGAATTATGACAACAGCGCATATACTCACCAATAGCAGCTGTAAAGTACTGCTCAATTTCATTGGGTGTGAGTGCCCTTTCCCATATAATGAATTCATCAAATGCCCCATTCACATAGCGCTTAGTTTTATCCCCCTCTGTCCCAGTCAGTAGATTTGCACTGGGATCTCCGTAATCATAGAAAACTTTCCCATCTGGATCAGTTGTGTTTAGAGTTCCGTTGACATAGACTTTCAGTCCCTCTCTTGACTTCCAAGTAAAGAGAATGTGAGTCCAATAAGGACCTACAAAACATTCAAAGTCACAGCAAAATCCATGAATCAAATCGTTTTAGAGTCTTTCCTGTTCAGTAAGTTTTTGCTGACTTGTGCAATGCTATAGAGCTGTACAGGAAGTGCTAAGAGTGAATTATGGAATGCTGATGTCATGTATATTAATCTTTATATCCCTGGGGAAGACCATACTTTGGCAGAATGTCTTTTAGCTTTTGTCTGAACTCTTACTTGGGTTTACTGCAGTTTCATAAATTACACTTTCTAAGTACTATTGGCCAAGATTTGAAGTCTTTTCAATACTGTCTCAAAACTCAGTTCAGCAAGAAATGCACAAAGACTGCAAGAACTGGAGAACAAGCTAACAGACTAATCAAAAGTTGCCACAGTTTTTGTTATACCTGAGAGGCTGAAAACATAATTTTAACTTGGATTGGATAATCCACAAATTTGTGAATTATTTATCTTAAAGTAAGATTCTAAACTGATTAAGCTTTCTAAAACTCTGCTGCTACAAGGGGAGAAAGTCCTATTTTACCAATGTACAGGTAGTAAATTACGGCAAGAAAAGATTTAGTGACTCTCACTGGCATTACTAGAAGACCAGAATTTGTTCCAGTCACTAGGTAGTACCGCTCCCCAACAATACACAGTTTAGATAGCAGTGAGATATGTGACACACAAAAATGTTTATTAATACTATGCCATGGCATATAAAACTTGACACTCGACAGATAACAAAATTACCAAAGCACTAAGCACCCAGTTAGATAGTTACCAAGTAAAGTCTTAATTTAGGAGGCAGCACAGGACAGCACATTTATTCAGTTTTAGAATATACTGAGAACTGTGAGGGATTAACCTCCATTCTTCACTCGTGTTTCCATCTAAGCACTCAATCTATTGATGTCAATAACAATTCCACTTCACAAACAACTGGAAGTTGGGTCCGAGGACTGTTACTGAATGGCAAGTGTTCAATAATAGAAAATAACTGTTTTTTCAGGTAGTTCTTTCTCTCTCTTCCCCTCCCCATCAAGAGAATTCTTGAGTACAGAACTCTGTAGCTATTTTTGTATATCCATTTCTCTTTCCTGAAGTTGTGATCTTACCACTACATCTCTCTGCAACAATAAAGTAAAATATAACAAAAAAATTAATAATTAAAAAAATTATAAGCTTTACCTGGTGGACTAAAGCTTGCTTTCCACTTCATCATTGCACTCCCACGCGTGTAAAATTCCACTGAGCCTTCACCTTCATTTGAACAGATTTTGAAACCACTGGAAATAACTTGTCCACCAGAGGCAGGGAGAAACTTAGCCTGCTGGTCTTGAGTCTTCCAGAAAAAAGAAAATGTTACTCCTGATGAAAGCA